CTTCAGCTTGACCCCTGACCCCTTCACCTTACCCTAAATCACTTCTAACCTTGACCTCTCTCTGCTGATGCCTTCAGCATGACCCCTGACACCACCAACCCTAACCCCTTCACCTTGCCTCTGATTCCCCTCACCTGACCTTTGACCTTCCTCTTACCTTGGTCCCACTGACCCTGACTTATCTCTGACCTCTGACCACCCATCCCCTGACCTCCCTCACCCTGACCCTTCCCCACCCTCCACCTGAAATCCCACCCCTGACCAATGTCACTTTACAATACGTGTTTATTTTTTGAATAATTACCCTGTCAATTCCACAATATCTGTGGTCAGAGAAAGCCCTTCCTGAACATTCCCAATCTCCTGAAATTCCACTTTGTGTACCGTGCCCCCTGTGATTCCATTGTTTCCTGGAATTCCCCGACTGAAGGCCCATTTGTCTTTGGGAAATCTGGTGAGAAAAATCACGCAGGAAAAGATGGAACATTCAAATTTTACTTAAAAATTATTCTGAGTATACTTCATCACAGAATCACAACGTTACAGCGCAGAATGAGGCCATTCAGTCCATCATGTCTTCACCAGCTGAGCATTTAGGCAGTGCCAGAAGCCTCCCTTTTCCCTATATCCCTGCACATTGTTTCTGTTCAAATAAACATCCAATGCTTCTGTGATTGCTTCAATTCAACCCTCCCAACTACCTTCTCACGCAGCACATTCCAAACCTGCACTGCTTGCATTTTTCTTAAAGTTTTTTTTGAAGAAGCGTTTTTTAAATCACCTTGTATTTTGCAAAACATTTTAAAGCCGTGCTCTCTGGTTCTCATGAGCAGGAACAATCTACTCTGCCCTAACCACTGCCCCCTCCATGATTTTGAGGTATATTATTAATCTCCCGTTAACCTTCTCTTTAAGGAAAACAATCCCAATTTTTCTACTTCTCTGAGGAAAATGTCTCATCTCTGGAAACATTCTCATAAACCTCTTCTGCATTATCTCCAATGCGTTCACATCCTCCCTATAGTGTGGCGCCCAGAACTACATACAATACTTCAGCTGAGGTCTAGCCAATGTCAGCATACCCTCTCTGCTCTAGTATTCTACACTCCTATTAAGAAAACCTACAAGATTGTATGTTCGTCATACATCTCCTGCTACCTTTAATGACCCATGCACATTTATGCCTAAGTCTGTCCACTCCTTGCACAATCTTTAGAATGGGTATCTTTATTTTCTGTTGTCTCCATGTTTTTGTCCCAAATTGTACCACCTCACACATCTTTGCCTGGAACTTCATCTGCCATCTATCTGTCAATGTCTTTTTGAAGTTATATACTGTCTTTCTCACAAATTCAAATTTTTTCAGATTTTGTGTCATCTGCAAATTTGGGAATTGTCCCCTGCACACCAAGATCTGGATCATTCAGATACAACAGGAAAAACAAGGGTCCCAGTATTGACATCTTTCCACCATTCAATAAGATCATGTCTGCTATTTTTGTTTCCACATCTATCCGTGCCTGTACATTTATTTTATTCACCACTGGGGATTGATTTGTTTTGGTTTAGAAGCTCTGATTGTCTCTCAGGTTTCTTGCTTTTTTTTTCCAGGGTAAGGTCTTCTTTTGACTGTAATAATCTGATAGAGATTCATCAACTATTTCAAAAACAGCATTCAATGATCATACTGTCTTCAAATCTCCATAGTCACATCCCACTACTGAAATGCATAAATTGTCTGGATGCAGAATTCTTCTATCAGAGATGTTTCTTAGTATATTAGAGGCAAGAAGATAACCGTGGAGAGAGTAGGCCTCATTAGGGGCCAAAGTGGCAATCTATGTATGGATGGTGTAGCTAAGATTTTGACCAAGCGCGTAGCGTCATATTCAGATAGAGAAAGACAATGTAGATGTAGAAATCAGGGATGGGGGTCAGTGAAATACTTGAACAAATTAGCATAGAGATGGTGTAGGTATTAATGGTTTAAGCAGGCTTAAAATTGGATAAACCCCCAGACCCAGATGAGATATATCCCAGGTTGCTGTGGGAGGCATGGGAGGAGATTTCAGAGCTTCTGACATTCATTTTCAAATCCTCTCTGGCCGCAGGAGAAGTTCCTGAGGACTGGAGGACAGGCCAATATGCTCCCATCATTTCAGAATGGTGCTTGGGATAAAGCCGGAAGCTTAGATGCCAGTGACTCTGTGGTAGGGAAAGGTTTGGAAAAAAAAATCTGAGCGACAAAATTAATCTCTACTTGGAGAGGCAAGAATTAATCAAGGATAATCAGCATGGCTTTGTCAGGGGGAGATCCAATTGGAATTGGATTCAAAATTAGCTTAATGGCTAGAGGGTGATAGTGGAATGGTATTTTTGTGACTGGAAGTCTGTGACCAGTGGTGTACCACAGGGCTCATGCTGGGTCCATCGAAGTTTGTTGTGTACATTAATACTATTGACCTGCTTAGTAACCAGCTTTAGAGACTGAATGACTAATCCCCGGGGTGAGAGAGAGTGGAAAGGCCTTATTTATAGTTTTTAGGAATAGAGAGGTTCACAGAGAGAGAAATCTGATTTGTTGAGTAGTGGGTAAGATTGAATAGTCAGTTCCCAGTTTATTGTTTGTAGTTGATAGGGTTCACGATGGCGGGAGAGCTCAGGCCCGTGGAAATGCTTCTCCTGCAATTATGTGGGAAATCAGGGCCACTTCCAGTCTCCATGGTAACCACGAAAACAGGGAGTGTGTTCAGCTGCAGCTCCTGATTTGCTGCCTGGAGCTGTGGATAGACTCACTGTGGAGCATCCATGAGGCTGAGAATGTCGTGTGTAGCAAGTTGTTCACACCATCAGTGAGGACTACGCAGACAGAACAGAACTGGGCGACCAACAGGAAGACTAGTACGTGGGGACAGGCAGTCCCCTTGGCCATTCGCCTCTCAAAAAGATAGACCATGTTGGATAATGTTGGGAGGAATGGCCTCTCAGGGGAAAGCGGCAACGGTTGGCTCTGTTACGCAGCAGGGGAGGGAACAGGCCGGGAGAGCTCTAGTGATGGGGATGTGATTGTAAAGGAGCTGACAGGTGGTTCTGTGGCAGGCAAACAAGACTCTCAAATGGGATGTTGGCTCCTGGTGCCAGGGTCAGGGATGGCTCAGAGCGCAGGGCCTGCAGGGCATTCTGAAGCGTGACAGTAAACAGCCAGCACTCACAGTACCAACATCGTGAAAATAGGAATGAGGTCCTGCAACAGCAGTTCAAAGAGTTAGGTAGTCTATTGAAGAGGAAGTTTATAATCTCCGGATTACTCCAGTGCCACATGCTAATGAGTATGGGAATAGAAGTATAGGTCAGGTGAATACGCGGCTAGGAGATGGTGTAGGAGGGAAGGCTTTAGATTTTTGGATCATTGGGACAGCTTCCAGTGTAGGTGAAACCTGTCCAAGCTGGATGGGTTGCACCTGAACTGGAATGGGTCCAATATTATTTTTCTTTATTCATTCACATGATGAGGGGCATCGCTGGCCAGGCAGCATTTATTGCCCATCCCTAATTGCCTAGAGAGCAGTTAAGAATCAACCACATTCCTGTGGGTCTGGGAGTCACATGTAGGCCAGACCAGGAAATGATGGCAGTTTCCTTCCCTAAAGGACAGATGGGTTTTTCCAACAATCGACAAAAGATTCACGGTCATCATTAGGCTGTTAATTCCAGATATTTATTGAATTCAAATTCCACCATCTGCCATGGCAGGATTTGAATCCAGGTCCCTAGAATGTTATCTGGGTCTCTGGATTAATAATACCACTAGGCCATCGCCTCCCCATATATTTGCTGAGAAGTTTTAAACTGATCTGGCAGAGGGAGAGGCACAGTAGATGTAAAGTTGGGAGCAAGGTCCAATCAGATATAGAAGGAATGCTGGGACATTCCAGTAGATGGAAAAGAATGTGGGTAGGACAAGGCACATGGGAGGACTAGAAAGCTAAATTGTAGCTATTTTAATGTAAGTAGCCTGACTGGTAAGGAAGATGAACTTAGAGTGTTGATCAGCACGTTGGAATAGTGATTGGAACAATATCATGAGACATGTTTGAAGGAAGGGCAGCTCAATATTTCAGGTTTTTGAAGTTTCAGATGGGGTGGTGGGGGATGTAGGAGAGGTGGGGGTGTTGCATTATAGATAAAGGAAATGATCAGGCAGTCATGACAGAGGGTGTCCTAGAAGGCTCTTCAGACCAGACCATCTGGGTAGAACTTTGAACTAAAAAAGGTGATTATTTCACTGAGATTGTACTACAGGCCTCCCAACAGTCAGAAGAAGATACTGGAACAGATCACAAAGAGGTGTCAGAGGAATTGGGTTATAGTTGTAGGGGATTTCAACTTTGCTAATGTTAATTGGGATCGCCTTAGTGTGAAAGGATTAAGGCAGGGTGGAATTTTTGAAGTACACCCAGGGAAGCTTTTTGTGTCATTACATTGATAGTCCTTCAAGCCATGGAGCGGTGCTAGACCTAATCCGAGGTCAAGTGGTTGAAGTGTCAGT